ACAACATCCCGTCAAGGATGCCCCAGGTTCCGTCATATCCAGATCATATCACAATTTCCATATATCAGTATCCAAAGGGAGGTACATATGCTGATGCACATCATGTACTGGGGGAAACAATCCAACAGGGGATTGTTGACTAGCTCACAATTATCCGGCCCTCAAATTTCCATGTGGCTAGGGATGAGTCGTCCAACTGGGGGACTGATACTCTAACCAGCCCGTACGGACGAAGAATCAAGACCCGTACGTCTGAAAATCGTCCTACGCGTGCAGACTACCCAATCAAGGGTCTACAGCAACATCCCGTCAAGGATGCCCCAGGTTCCGTCATATCCAGACCATATCCACAATTTTTCCCTGCATCCCACAATTCCAGGATCCGTGACCAATAAAGCCCACACGCTCGAAACCCGGCACGTGTGTGAATAGTATATCCAAACCATATCCATATATCCATTTCCATGTATCCTAGTGTCCATATCCACTGTTTCTAAATATCATCATCCAAGAGGGGAGGTACGTATGATGGTGGAGTTCGTAATCCTTATATAAATATTATAAAGTAATATTCCCTTCCTTAATCCAATTTTTCCCAAGGCATCGTATTAAGAAGACATCCGAAGGGCCTGGACAAACTCCGACGGGCCTGGGCAAAATAAATCTCCAAAGGGCCTGGGCAAACTCCGACGGGCCTGGCAAAATAAATCTCCAAAATAAATCTCCGAAGGGTCTGGACAAACTCCGACGGGCCTGGGCAAAATAAACTCTCAAACATAAAACCCATAACCAGGGAGGTGCCTAAGGTAGTGCTAACAACACTCAAATTAACGTTCTAAGTACCCTATACAAAATCAACAAGGATAGTACTTTCTCAAATATTATATAAAAACTCAAGACACTCGAATATATCAAACCCACATATATTGCAACTACTTTACCAAAAATAAAGAATTCAACGATTAAATATAAACCGAATTTAAATAAACTATTAAATTCAAAAGCATAAGATTTCCATCACAAAACCATACAAATAATCTCATAGACCCACATAAATCAAATGACGGTCAAGACTCGTCCAAAAGGGTCGTTCTAGTACTCTTTGAAGAGTGAAACTACCTCGGAAGGCTCACGGTCAACCGAGGGTCAAACTGCCCAAACTTGGTCAACCGGGCTCGCGGGACCCACGAACTCCGTTTTACGATCCGAAAGTTCCTATGGGTTCCACACGGTCTAGGAAACATGTCCTACAAATTTGGTTCAGATCGGACGGTCGGATCGCTCACGATCGCACGATCGGACGGTTATTGTAAAACACAAACTTTAAGTTATTGAATCGGAACATCCGGAGCTCCGATTCACGATCCGTTGAATCCTACACGATCCTGGGAATACCTAGGTCAACATATATTAATTTGAAAGCGATCCAACGGTTCTAACATATCGAACCCGGAATTCACACATGTAAAATCCGTTCGGGGTTCAAACGTTATCCGAATTGAGATCCGTAAAATTCTACGCGCTCGTGACAACCAGGGGATTGCATTGGGATGCCGGAAAATCTTAGAATCTCGGCTCAAGACTCCTACCCTAGGTAATACCCCTAATTTGGAGTCACTTTTGTTCTTGGACATACCCCAAAAAGTCGACGGAAGTGGCCGGAATTTCAAATTGAAAACCGGCTGAAACCTAATTCCAAAATCGAGCTCCAAAATCTCAAAATTTCTGAAATCCTATCCACCAGGAAGCTAGAGCACGAAAAATAGTCGAGAATCCATACCTCACTCGACTGATTTGGTTGAGAAACGAGGGAGAACGAGCCGTTGCAAAATCTGTCAAAAACCAGCAAATTTTCTGCGTTTTTCCGGGCGGTTTCGTCGGCTCCAAGGGCGGTGCTGGCCGGGGAAGAGAGAGGAGGAGGTGGCGGTTCGAATGGGACCGGTCTCGTGGCCGGTGGTCCGGTGTGGCCACGGTGGTGGCTTGCAAAGCCACCGGCTGAGAGAGAGGAGGAGTTGGCGGTTCGAATGGGACCGGTCTCGTGGCCGGTGGTCCGGTGTGGCCACGGTGGTGGCTTGCAAAGCCACCGGCTGTTCTGAAAAAACGAAGGGAGGGGGGTGCTGCGCGCGGGGGGAGAGAGAGAGAGAGAGAGAAATTCTGAGATTTTTATTAAAATTGAACTTCGAATTAATTACGATTGTGCCACTGAGAGTCTTTATCTCGTAACTTTCTCGTTACAACTCCGATTCAAGCCTACTGCATGTCTACGAACTCGTCTCAGTACGACCTACGTAAAGATACCAGCCACAGCCCCGAAATCCTCCCGAATTAAAAATGACCAAATTACCCTTACTCTCAAGGGCAAAATTGTAAATTCACATTTAAATTTAATAAAAATCAAAATTATTAATTTTTTGGGTCGGGATGTTACACGAACCCTACCACACAGTTCTTTGTCTAATTAGTTAACCTTTTTAATAAGCAATTAAAATAAGCTACAGTATGCAAAGTAAATAATTTGAGATTGTGCGTTGAGTATTTGATACAAGGGTTGGTTTAACAATGTTTGATAATTGACCTTTTTCCGTTGGATAAAAAAATAAAATAATATGTTGTCGTCATTGGTTTTCACTGTCATCCTAAAACGAAACCAAACAAACTACAATTTCCCATATGAACTTATCACATGATAAAAACAGCTTGTGAAAACAACAAAATCTCATGTATACTACAAATATTGTTTAATGATTTAAGTATTGGGGTAAACAAAGAGGCGGGGTTTAAATAGGAAATCTCTTTTATTTCTTATTTTTTCAGCTTGGGGTGTATTTAAGGGTAGTTTGGGAAGATAGTGGGGTTTTCTTAGAAATTGTGAAAATTTAAAGTAGAAATTGGGGTGAACTTAGAACATGGGGTGAACAAAAGAGAAGTGTGGGGTTTAAATAGAAAATCTAAAAAAGTTTACCAAACGCCAAATTGCTTTCTCTCATAGCTGATTTCTCTCACACCAAGGCCCCGTTTGAGATTACTTTTTTTTGGCCAAAAACCTGCTTCACTTTAAAGTTAAGCAATTTAAGGTGTTTGGTAAAAGTAAAATATCCCAATTATCTTAAAAGTAGTAGCCTTTTGACAGCAGCTTTTAAAAGCAGGCTTTGGGTTGCTTTTCAAAGCTGCTTTTAAAAGAAGCAAAGATGAGTCTTTAATGAACTTTTTTAATTTCTAAAATACCATCATTAATTTTTAAAAATGACACCACCTCCACCTCCACCTCTACATTCATGTGGATCACAAGCCTTTTCACTCAATTTTTCTGGTCTTCCAGGCTTTTGGTTTCTTAATGTCTGTCTTTTTTTATGTCCCTCTGGCCTGGTATACCTCTTTTTTCTATATTGAATAAATTTCCATATTGTTTTTTTCATAAAAAACTTCAATATCGTAGGTATAAAATTGTCATAGATATATAAAATTAATTTAATATTTTCTTTTCTTTTACGATTTATCGACACTTTTTAATTGATGTGGTTGTCTACTTCATGTGCCACATAAGGTGGTATGAGAATGTGGTAAGAATAGCATTACTCCTTTGTGAAATGGAAAATGCTAGACTTACCAAAGAGGTGGTACACAATGTGGTATAAAAATGTGGTAAGTCTAGCATTACCCTTGTGAAATATGAAGTCAAGTTTTCTTAATGTCTAATATGAGAGAAGATAATTTTTATAATTTTCAACATAATTTCTTTGTATTACTAACAACAAATTTATACAAATAGATGGTTTGCTAACCAAGCTAATCATATTTGGTTTCTATAGAATTGATCATAATTCTAGTGGGAGACGAGTGTGAGTGATTGTAAAAGCTTAGGGTCTTGGCTGAGAACCGGGCCGAATCAGACTGGATCGGATTATATTGGATGAACAATATCAATTCTGTTTTAGTTTTGGTTGAGAATCAGGCCGAACCAGACTTTGCCCAGACCTTGTATTACCCTCGTGAAAAATGTGGTAAGCCTAGCATTACTCTTGTGAAATATGAATTGTCAAGTTTTCTTAATGTCTAATATGCGAGAATATGAGAATGAGAGAAAAAATTTCTGGTTTTCAACATAGTTTCTTTGTATTGCTAACAACAAATTTATACAAGTAGATGGCTTGCTAACCAAGCTAATCATATTTGGTTTCCAAGGCCTGGAACTTGCAAGCTGCAGCCTTCACAAGTCAAGTGAATATTTCCTGGTTTCACACCTCAACATTTATTGCTTTCACACACAAGCTAACAGTTAGTGTCCATAATTTCTACATTAAAGCTAATTAGTGACAATGACGGTCAAGTTGTTTGACAATGTCCCGCTACATCGACTTAGATTTTTCTTTGGTAGGTGCAGTTGTTGACTTGATGTGTATCCAAAGACTCGCAATGAAGGATATGTTCAAAAAGGCATTGGCTGAGAATCAAGAATAGCCATGTTTTTCAAGCTTGTAATGTTTTTCAAGTTGTGGTCCCGTATCTTCGAGGTTATCTTGTCAAAGGTCAGTAATGTATTTCTAGAAGGGAAATTGAATGCAGTTTTTGAACTAGTTGAATGGAAGAATTTTCCACTTATATGATTCTGATTTACTCTATATTTTTTCTTCTTGTTAATTTGTGACAATGTCCGTTGTGGGAGTAAATGCAATTTTTCTCTACAAAACTGAGAGGCCAGACCATGTTTCTAGTCTAAGTCACATGTATCTCTTATTTGTATTGTTCAAAGATTCTTGTATATGTTTTTTTTTTGTTGGGTTACAAGGCAGGCCGAAGCCAGAAAAGGAAAAAAGCTAACAAGGCACAGCCTTACTTTGGGCTCTTCCTAGATCATCATCCAGCAACAAGCTCGAGAGGGAGACAGGAGCAAACTCGTAGTTATGAAGCCCCAAGGGTAACTCATACCCAAGTTAACAAGGTGATCAGCTGCTCTGCTTTGTTTTTGTGGGTATAGTCCATGACTTACAAAGTTACAAGTATAAATGTGTACCACTGGTATGCCAACATTGTACCATCAAGTTGATGAATTTTCAATCTGCATGGAAATTTCAAACTTGTTTGCTTATGTTTGGTAGATAATCATTAAAACAAATTTGAATTCTCAATTTTGCTATATGAAGAAATTCAGAGAAGGGAATTTTACATAGACAGACTTTTAGTTTAATAGACTTTTGGTAGAGAATTGAAATTAATAGCCATGTTTTTCAAGCTTGTTATAGTCATAATAGTAAGCCTAGCAGCAGCTGAAGATCTCAATTTCACCTACAATGGTTTCCTGTCTGCTAATCTTAGCCTAGATGGCGTAGCCCAAGTCACATCCAATGGCCTTCTGAAGCTTACAAATGACACTGGACTCGGCCATGCCTTCTACCCCAACCCAGTAACCTTCAAGAACTCATCCAATGCTACCGCTTTCTCCTTCTCGACCACTTTTGTGTTCGCTATCAGATCCAGATTCGGAACGCGTGTGGGTGGCAATGGAATGGCCTTTGTCATTGCTCCGACAAGAGGGCTCCCCGGAGGTTTTAAAAACCAGTACCTGGGCCTTTTCAATGAAACCAACAACGGCAACGCCAACAACCATATTTTTGCTGTAGAGCTTGACTCCTTCCAGAACCCCGAGCTTGGCGACATCAACAACAACCATGTTGGGATTGATATCAATGGTTTGCGCTCAGTGAACTCAACTCCAGCGGGATATCATGCTCTAAACAATGGCGGTTTCCGAAACTTGACCCTCATCAGTGGTCAACCAATGCAGGTTTGGGTGGAGGTCTTTGAAGTATGACCTGTCCACGGTCCTTAACACGACCATGTATGTTGGCTTCTCCTCTACTGCTGGTGCACTCGTCACATCTCATTATGTTCTAGGATGGAGCTTTGAGATGAATGGCCAGGCTCTAGAACTTGTTCTCTCACAACTTCCTAAGCTGCCCCGGATAGGACGTAAAAAAATATCTAATTTTTTGACCGTTGGTGTGCCTGTGATGTCTGTGAGTTTGGTTTTGCTAGCAATTTCAAGTTTAATTTATGCCATAAGAAGGAAGAAGAAGTTTGCAGAGCTGCTTGAAGATTGGGAGCTTGAGTATGGGCCTCAAAGGTTTAAATACAAAGAGTTATATATGGCAACAAAAGGGTTTAGGGAGAAGGAGCTTTTGGGAAGTGGGGGATTTGGTAAGGTCTATAAAGGCATATTACCTTCCTCCAAAACTGAGATTGCAGTGAAGAGGGTCTCACATGAATCAAGACAGGGGATGAAGGAGTTTGTTGCAGAAATTATTAGCATTGGCAGACTTCGTCACCGAAATTTAGTACCACTGTTGGGATATTGCAGAAGAAAAGGGGAGCTGCTCTTGGTCTATGACTACATGCCTAATGGAAGCCTGGACAAATACCTATACGACCAACCAGCGGTCACTCTCAATTGGAGCCAGAGGTTCAGAGTGATCAAAGGTGTGGCTTCAGGGTTGTTCTATCTTCATGAAGAATGGGAACAAGTTGTGGTTCACAGAGATGTGAAGGCCAGTAACATATTACTAGATTCAGAATTTAATGCAAGACTAGGAGATTTTGGCCTTGCAAGATTATATGACCACGGAAAGGACCCTAAGACTACTCGTGTAGTTGGAACACTTGGGTATCTAGCTCCGGAGAATGCAAGATTAGGCAGGGCCACAACGCACACCGATGTGTTTTCTTTTGGGGCATTTTTGCTTGAAGTTGCCTGTGGAAGAAGGCCAATACAGACACAAGGTCAATATCTGGATGTGGTTCTGGTTGATTTGGTGTTTTCTTGTTGGAAGAGAAGTAATATTCTTGAGGCAATAGATCTAAACTTGGGTTCAGAATTCGTAGCTGAGGAGGTGGAATTGGTGTTGAAGCTTGGGCTGTTGTGCTCTCATTCAGAGCCCTCTGCTAGGCCAAGCATGCGTCAAGTAGTGCATTATTTAGAGGGTGACATTCCACTGCCGGAGTTGTCATCTCTTGGTCTTTCTTCTGGTGGTGGCTTGAAGTTCGCACACCGCGAAGGTTTTGATGATTCGGCAATGTCATATCCGTCTTCCATGGGCAAGGAGTCATATGTTCCAGAGTCGGCACTTCCCTCAGGTGGTCGCTGAGGCCAATCAATTAAGATTCTCACCCAAGTACGAGCCATAGAACATATACATGCAGCTTTGAATGTTTCCTCTAGTTTATTAGTTTGTAACTACTTACTTGTTACAATAAATCAATGCTGCATATAAAATAGGTGTTTTGTATTATACTATTTTTTATATCTTTTATTGTTGTTATTGATAATATATACTATTTTTTATATAAGAAAACAGACATGGAAATTTTAATCTTAATAAATAGTAAAAAATTAGAACGGGAAAAAGGAGCAATTTTAAGAGGCGGCAGTCGGTTGGGTCCGGAATGCGGGCCGAATCTTGGACTAGTAATTACTGGATGAGTGTGGCGGAGAGCTCCGCAGACCTCCTCAAGTTCTCAACTTTCAGGTCCTTCACCGTCGTCCGATGTCAAAACAGATCTCTGGCCATTTTCTAGAGAATGGGTTTTGGCAGAAACCTCCATTTCTATTTGGTACATCGCGTTGTTGTAGGAGCAGGATTGAATTCTTGAACCTTCTAGACGCAAGCTTTTCTGTGTTTTTGGCTCCAACTATTTTGGCTCCGTCGCCTTAAACCAAGTACATTTGCATCACTGTGAAGGTTCAAAATTTATTCGTGGAAACGACAGACCTCTCCCCCAGCTAAGTACACTTCGAAGCATTGGACTGGCCACAGGTTTCTCTCTGTCCCTGTGCCCTTTGTGCGTTTGTAATTGTCAAGTGTTCTTTAATGTCTTTGTGAAATTTGAATTTACATTATATATATCGACTTACTGGTGTGCCAATATTGTAGCACTAGTTGATGATTGTGGCAATCTGCATGGAAATTGCAAACTTGTTTGCTTTTGTTTCGGTATATAATCATTTTATAAAAATAAATTTGGCATTTTGCTGCATGAAGAATTTGTGAGAAGGGTTTTTGTTTTTTTTGTTTTTTTTGTTCTTTTTGTTCTTTTTTACTTTAATAAGTGAAGCAGACGTGCCATGGTAACCCCACATTTAGCTGGCATGGAATTGATCTCGGGACACTTGTTTACTAGTCCTTTTTGGTCATAACAGTGAGTGATTAAGATATGGGGTCGGAGAGTCTTGTACCTTTGTATCTATAGAATTGATCATAATTCTAGTGGGAGACGAGTGTGAGTGATTGTAAAAGCTTAGGGTCTTGGCTGAGAACCGGGCCGAATCAGACTGGATCGGATTATATTGGATGAACAATATCAATTCTGTTTTAGTTTTGGTTGAGAATCAGGCCGAACCAGACTTTGCCCAGACCTTGTATTACCCTCGTGAAAAATGTGGTAAGCCTAGCATTACTCTTGTGAAATATGAATTGTCAAGTTTTCTTAACGTCTAATATGCGAGAATATGAGAATGAGAGAAAAAATTTCTGGTTTTCAACATAGTTTCTTTGTATTGCTAACAACAAATTTATACAAGTAGATGGCTTGCTAACCAAGCTAATCATATTTGGTTTCCAAGGCCTGGAACTTGCAAGCTGCAGCCTTCACAAGTCAAGTGAATATTTCCTGGTTTCACACCTCAACATTTATTGCTTTCACACACAAGCTAACAGTTAGTGTCCATAATTTCTACATTAAAGCTAATTAGTGACAATGACGGTCAAGTTGTTTGACAATGTCCCGCTACATCGACTTAGATTTTTCTTTGGTAGGTGCAGTTGTTGACTTGATGTGTATCCAAAGACTCGCAATGAAGGATATGTTCAAAAAGGCATTGGCTGAGAATCAAGAATAGCCATGTTTTTCAAGCTTGTAATGTTTTTCAAGTTGTGGTCCCGTATCTTCGAGGTTATCTTGTCAAAGGTCAGTAATGTATTTCTAGAAGGGAAATTGAATGCAGTTTTTGAACTAGTTGAATGGAAGAATTTTCCACTTATATGATTCTGATTTACTCTATATTTTTTCTTCTTGTTAATTTGTGACAATGTCCGTTGTGGGAGTAAATGCAATTTTTCTCTACAAAACTGAGAGGCCAGACCATGTTTCTAGTCTAAGTCACATGTATCTCTTATTTGTATTGTTCAAAGATTCTTGTATATGTTTTTTTTTTGTTGGGTTACAAGGCAGGCCGAAGCCAGAAAAGGAAAAAAGCTAACAAGGCACAGCCTTACTTTGGGCTCTTCCTAGATCATCATCCAGCAACAAGCTCGAGAGGGAGACAGGAGCAAACTCGTAGTTATGAAGCCCCAAGGGTAACTCATACCCAAGTTAACAAGGTGATCAGCTGCTCTGCTTTGTTTTTGTGGGTATAGTCCATGACTTACAAAGTTACAAGTATAAATGTGTACCACTGGTATGCCAACATTGTACCATCAAGTTGATGAATTTTCAATCTGCATGGAAATTTCAAACTTGTTTGCTTATGTTTGGTAGATAATCATTAAAACAAATTTGAATTCTCAATTTTGCTATATGAAGAAATTCAGAGAAGGGAATTTTACATAGACAGACTTTTAGTTTAATAGACTTTTGGTAGAGAATTGAAATTAATAGCCATGTTTTTCAAGCTTGTTATAGTCATAATAGTAAGCCTAGCAGCAGCTGAAGATCTCAATTTCACCTACAATGGTTTCCTGTCTGCTAATCTTAGCCTAGATGGCGTAGCCCAAGTCACATCCAATGGCCTTCTGAAGCTTACAAATGACACTGGACTCGGCCATGCCTTCTACCCCAACCCAGTAACCTTCAAGAACTCATCCAATGCTACCGCTTTCTCCTTCTCGACCACTTTTGTGTTCGCTATCAGATCTGGATTAGGAACGAGTTTGGGTGGCTTTGGAATGGCCTTTGTCATTGCTCCGACAAGAGGGCTCCCCGGAGGTTTTAAAAACCAGTACCTGGGCGTTTTCAATGAAACCAACAACGGCACCAACAACCATATTTTTGCTGTAGAGCTTGACACCATACTGAACCCCGACCTTGGCGACATCAACAACAACCACGTTGGGATTGATATCAATGATGTGCGCTCAGTGAACTCAACTCCAGCGGGATATCATGCTCTAAACAATGGCGGTTTCCGAAACTTGACCCTCATCAGTGGTCAACCAATGAAGTTTTGGGTGGAATATGATGGTATCCAGAAGCAAATCAATGTCACTTTGGGTCCAATCAATGTTGATAAACCCCATATTCCACTCTTGTCTTTGAAGTATGACCTTTCCATGGTCCTTAACACGAACATGTATGTTGGCTTCTCCTCTACTGCTGACTCACTCGTCACATCTCATTATGTTCTAGGTTGGAGCTTTGAGATGAATGGCCAGGCTCCAGAACTTGTTCTCTCGCAACTTCCTAAGCTGCCCCGGATAGGACGTAAAAAAATATCTAATTTTTTGACCGTTGGTGTGCCTGTGATGTCTGTGAGTTTGGTTTTGCTAGTGGTTTCAGGTTTAATTTATTTCATAAGAAGGAAGAGGAAGTTTGCAGAATTACTTGAAGATTGGGAGCTTGAGTATGGGCTTCAAAGGTTTAAATACAAAGAGTTATATATTGCCACAAAAGGGTTCAAGGAGAAGGAGCTTTTGGGCGCTGGGGGTTTTGGTAAAGTCTATAGAGGCATATTCCCCTCCTCAAAAATTGAGATTGCTGTGAAGAGAGTCTCACACGAATCGCGACAGGGGATGAAGGAATTTGTTGCAGAAATTGTGAGTAGTGGCAGGCTTCGCCATCGAAATTTAGTCCCACTCTTGGGCTATTGCAGAAGAAAAGGGGAGCTGCTCTTGGTCTATGACTACATGCCTAATGGAAGCTTGGACAAGTACATCTATGACCGCCCTATGGTCACTCTCAATTGGAGCCAGAGGTTTAGAGTGATCAGAGGTGTGGCTTCAGGGTTGTTCTATCTTCATGAAGAATGGGAACAAGTTGTGATTCACAGAGATGTGAAGGCCAGCAATGTGTTACTCGACGGTGAATTGAATGCAAGACTAGGAGATTTTGGCCTTGCAAGATTATATGACCATGGAACAGACCCTCAAACTACTCATATAGTTGGAACACTTGGGTATCTAGCTCCAGAGCATATAAGATCAGGCCGGGCCACAACGAGCACCGATGTGTTTGCTTTCGGGGCGTTTTTGCTCGAAGTAGCTTGTGGAAGAAGGCCAACAGAGGCACAAGGTCCAGACCAGGATTTGATTTTGGTTGATTGAGTGTTTTCTTTTTGGAATAGAGGTGCCATTCTTGAGGCAAGAGATCAAAACTTGAGTTCTGAATATGTAGCCGAGGAGGTGGAGTTGGTGTTGAAGCTTGGGCTGTTGTGCTCTCATTCAGAGCCTACAGCCAGGCCAAGCATGCGCCAGGTTGTGCAGTATTTGGAAGGTGACATTGCTTTGCCAGAGCTCTCTCTTCTTGGGCTCTCTTCAAATGGCTTGACTTTTGCTCACCATGAAGGTTTTGATGATTTTGCAATGTCATATTCGTCTTCTCTGGGCAAGGGGTTTTCACATTCATCATATGCTGCAGAGTCCACACTCCTCTCGGGTGGTCGCTGATTCGAAGCAATTAAGATTGTCTAGCACACTAGAATGTTGACTCTACTTATTAGTTTTGTAACTTGTACAAAAATCAATACTGTAACAATCTGTATGTAAGTTGGGTGGGAATAAAATTCTGCAAAAAGTACTAATTCCATACACACAAACTCGTGCCAAGGAGTGAATATTGAAGTGCACAACAATATCATGAAAAAGAAAGGGAAAAACTTGCTTGTTTTAGAAATTTCATGAATTTAATATGCAATTTGCATAGAAATTTCAAACTTGTTGCGTAAGGTAGCAGGCACCGGACAGTCTGGATCGCTCTTCATTTTACACAAAGACAACATATTTAATTAGTGTGAGAATATATTGGGTTCATTTTTACACATGATTTATCATGTTATTCACCCAATATTTTGAGTTAGTTCTTGACTTTTTGTAGCTTTTTACTTTCTTTTTGTGTTTTCATAGATTTTAACTTGGTTAGAATGAAAATGAGCTAAAAGTGCATTATTGGTTATAAATTCTGTTTTTGTTCATTTTCGTAGGTCAAATTCTTGGCCTTAGATCAACATGCTCCGATGCTCGGATGAGGTGAAGATCTTCATGAAAATTGTTCCAATCGATGTTAACTACAACATATCCGAATTTGAGCTCCATTGAACAAGTATAGCCTATCCAACTGATCCAAAATGTCACCACAACTCTGGAAATCTGTTTTGGGCCAGTTTTACCTCCACTTGGTGTCATATTATTTCTACTTGTTACCATGCCATTTGGTAACAATAAATTACTTTAGTTAAGTGGAATTTTCTGAGACAAATAGCATCTATGTGAAGACAAAAACCCATCATGGCAAGGAGACAAGGAGGAGACAAATGCTAAAGGGGTTGGAAAGGAGGAGAGAGAGGGAAGAGGGATGAGGAATGATGAGAGGCATCTTGCATCAGCCTTTGAACGTGGGAATTCATTTTTGGGGCAGATTTTGAAGAGTAGAAGAAGAGAGCTAAAGGAAGAGAGCAGGTTTTTGGAGAGGAAGAGAGGGGAGAATGGCATAACAATTGGAGAGAACCTTGAGGAGCCTTGAGGCAAGGATCCAAGAGGGGTTGAAGATGCAATTCTCTTTCCCCTCTTTGTTCTTAGTTTCTTTCATTATTTGTTTCTTGTATTTTCTTAGTTTCAATGTAATTTCATATTTTTCTAGGGCTTTGGTTGAAGCCCTAAACATGATTACACTTTTGTTTTGATGCTTTGAGTTTGTGAATTTCTAGATATTGTTGATGAATTCCTATTCACTAAAATAATCTATCCTTGATGTATGTTTTTCTTTGATTGATCACATTTGAAAGCATGCTTCTTGAGGTTGTTGGGATTATGTGTATCTTCATGTTTTCCTAAGCAATAAATGGGTGAAGTAAGAATCATCCACGTGAATTGGTTCCTGAATACCTAATGTAAACATCATGTATTAGGGTTCTTGTGATGTTCATATTCTCTTTGAACTTAATGGGTTTTTCTTGTAATTGAATCGAAGTACTAAGCACACCTAGATTTGGTTATAGGGAAGGCACAAATATTGTAGCACTAGCCCTGCACTTTACGTATATTAGAGAGAATCAATGCGTCTTGAGCCACTAATCCCGATCTTGATTGCGAACATCTTCATCAACACATTTAGAGTTCATCACTTGAGTGTCCATGAACATGAGTAGAATTGTTTAGGGTGGATTCCGAAACCCTAGTGTTTGCTACTTTGTACTTTCATATTTTGATTTTCATTCCTTCTACTCTTGTTAAATTTAGAGTTCATTTACTTTCAAGCATTAGAAATATGTCCCCCCCCCCCCCCCCAAATGTGTGTGTGTGTGTTTGAAACGTTGTGTGTCTTCTTTATTGAATTTTGTTTGTTTCTGTAATTGTTTTGGACTTTTGGTCCACACAAGTTCTTCTATTTTTTATGCAGAATCCAACCATATAAAGAACTTAAAATTTGGATAAACGGTTGGAAAGTTATAGGTCAAAAACTGGACAGAGGTCAAAACTGAAAACAGAGGAAATGAATATGCCTAAAAACGACCAGTCGCCACTGTTTGAGCGACTGGTCTCTCTGTATTTTTCACTGTTTTTGGAATTTGGTCCACTTGAGTTCCTTTTTCTTTTCTGTGCTGAATCCAATCGTATAAAGAACGTGAATTTTGGACAAACGGTTAGAAAGTTATAGGCCAAAAATGAGACAGAGGTCGAAACGTGAAGTTTGTGTTTATCTTTGGTTTCTTGTTTTGTTTCCTTTCTTTTACCGTTCTTTACTCGTGTTTTAGTTTCCTTTTTGCTTCTTGTGTTGTGTTAATTAAGTGGTCTCTACGTACTCAATTTAGAACTTGTAGGAAGCCGATAGTTCCTCGTGGGATCAACCCCATACTTACATAATCTATACCTCAATAGATTCGTGCACTTGCGGGTATTTTTAATTGGTTGTTTGCACATTAATTTGTGTCAGTTAACAAATACAATAGAATACAGGGTCAGCTCAGCTTCATTGAGTTGTGCTTTATTTTTTGTGGTTATACTCGATGATTTGATGCATAGGGTATTGGAAATGATGAAAGTCACAACTACAAGTGTTTGGATAGACAGAAAATGAGAGAATCAAAACAACTGAGAGAGAAAGTTCTAGAACCACTGATCTCAGATATTTCATTAATTAACAAAATGAATCCATTGGTCTTTGAATACATTACAACTATACCAACTTGACTCATATTCTAACTTTGTGATGATTGAATTACTATTCTATGGCTTGGTTCCGGAGAGTTGTACACTTTTACAAGAAAGACTTACCCCAATAAGTATGTGAAGATAAAGATCATAGATAAGTTGGCAGAGAATTAGAAATAATAGCCATGTTTTTCAAGCTTGTCACAGTAATGTTGCCCATCCTGCTCCTAGTAAGCCTAGCTATAACAGCACCTGAAGATGCTAGTTTCACCTACAATGGTTTCTTGTCTGCTAATCTTACTCTCCAAACACTGGCGGGTTCCGAAACTTGACCCTTGTCAGTGGTCAACCAATGCAAGTTTGGGCGGAGTATGATGGTATCCAGAAGCAAACCAATATCACTTTGGGTCCAATCAATGTTGATAAAGCCCATCTTCCACTCTTGTATGTTGGCTTCTCCTCTTTTGCTAGCTCACTCCACACACTCATTATGTTATAGGCTGGAGCTTTGAGATGAATGGCCAGGCAGGCTCAAGAACTTGATCTCTCAGAACTTCCCAAGCTGCCTTGGATAGGAGGTAAAAAAAGATTTAAACTTTTGACCATTGGTGTGCTTGTATGTCTTTGAGTCTGGTTTTGCTAGCAATTTCAAGTTCAATTTATTTCATAAGAAGGAAGAAGAAGTTTGCAGAGCTGCTTGAAGATTGGGAGCTTGAGTATGGGCCTCAAAGGTTTAAATACAAAGAGTTATATATGGCAACAAAAGAGTTTAGGGAGACGGAGCTTTTGGGACGTGAGGGATTTGGTAAGGTCTATATAGGCATATTACCTACTTCTAAAACTAACTAAGAGCATCTCCAGGAGAGTCTCCAAATTTTAGCCAAATTCTAGCTAAAATAGAGGACAATGGTCAGAACTTACACATGGCTCATGTTGAACACAAGTGTCCGACCAGCAAACAAGCCATTGGGTATTCGAAAGACCACGATCCAGCCTCTCCTCCATAGCCCAGTGCCTCTTCCACTCCTCAGATACCTAGTCCCACTCCTCATCTATGTTCGTCTCTTGACATGATGGCCATATTTCTGTTTTCCCTCAGAGACCACACCTCTTTATCATTGATTTATCTCTTTCTCTTGAAATCTCTCTCCACTTCTTTGTCTCCGTCGCACCGTCTCTCTTGCCGAGCCATCTCTCTTGCCTTTGCGAGCCTCGTCAATGCTCGTCGAGCCTTATCCTAGTTTATGATCATGGTTTCTCTTTCCCATGTTTTTCTAATGGTTTTTCTCTATCGTGGTTTCCATATTTTCCCTTTGTTTGTTGATGTTGCCGCTCGTCGTCGTTCACCTAGCCATCTCTCTTTCCTCCGTGAGCCTCGTCAACGCTCGCTGAGCCTTCTCTGCCGTGCTACATGTTGCTATTCCCTTGCAGAACCCCTGTTTCTTCCTCTGTGTTCCCGACTTGGTATCGGCCACTTAAGCCCTATCACTGTGTTGCCGACTTCGTATCTCTGTATTACCGCCTTTGTATCGGCCTCTCATGCTCTATCTCTGCTTAACCCGTGTTCTCCTCCCCTAAGCTCAATCTTTTTCTTTGATTTTACTGCTGGTCTCTATCTTCTTCAATGCTCTCTGCACACACACAAGGGGTTTTCAACCCCTGCCACTTTCATTCCTCTCTAACACCTTATCCACCATGCTACATACAACTTTGTGATTATATGCTACACTATGTGATATTTATAATGTTTCTACAAGCTATTTTTTAAATAAGTAGAATTTCACACGTCCTTTTTTTTCGTTCTTTTCCTTCTATCTTCTCTCCTCTCTTTCTTTTCTTTCTTTCTTTTTTCTAATTAAGTGAGTTGAGGTGGAAGCCAGAAAACATAGGTGTGTAGCTCGAGGTGGAAAGCCATAAAACATGGAAAGCGGAAAATACGAAGCGGAAATCATGGAGGTAGAAAGCCAGAAACTACGGGTGTGGAGCTCGAGGAACGCGGAAAAAATCAGAAACGGATGTCATAATGGACGTATATAAAAGGAAACAAGGGGGAGAAAAAAATCACCACTCAGAAAATAAAAAACCTAGCACCACCAATTTTCTTCCTTCCCATTTCTCTCGATCTAAACCTATCTTCTTAAACTCAGAAATAAAATGGCCTCTTCATTCCCATTTTCTCTCGATCTAAACCTAGCTCCGCCAACACAGACATGGGGGTGTTGTATTTATTAACTGAACACAAATTAATGTACAAACAACCAATTAAAAATACCCGCAAGTGCACGAATCTATTGGGGTATAGATTATGTAAGTACGGGGTTGATCCCACGAGGAACTATCGGCTTCCTATAAGTTCTAATTTGAGTACGTAAAGAACACTAATTTAACACACCACACATGCACAAATGCAAAATGGGAACTGAAAATGAGTAAAGAAATGTAAAAGGAA